GAAGAAGAAGAAGAAGAAGTTCGATCGACCGTGAGATATAAATAATAATCGATGACAGTGAGATAAGGATAGGAAGAAAGTAGGGTGGGAGGATGATGATGATGATGATGATGATGATGATGATGATGATGATGATGATGATGATGATGATGGGGGAAGAGGGAAGGGGATTATAGAAGCGAGAAATAATATATCCAAGCTCGATAATTCCTCGCAGGTGTCCTCGCGAGGAGAACCGAGTATGAAACAGGTCTTGTGTGATCTATAATCTATAGATCGATTATCTTTTATCTCCTCTCTCTCTTTCTCTCTTTCTCTCTCACTCTCTTTCTATATCTATCATTCGATATAGAGTATATGGTAGTACTGCTTCGGCTTAAACATTCCCGTTTGACCGTTTTACTTGAGGCTATTATACGTATCCATATTTTCACTGAAAAATATTTATACGATTATCCGGAGAAAAAGAAAGATAATATTCTTGATGAGTTAATGGACGAGTGATTTAAATCGAAATAAATGATAAAATATTAGAATAACAATCTGCGTGTGTTTGTAATTTACATACGTGAAATAAAAAGCAAAAGAGGAAGAAAGAAAAAAAAAAACATTTTGAAATTGATCACGATTGCATTGATGCATAAAGAATCAATTAGACAAAGTTTTATACGCGCGAATGTGATTAAAGAAAAGAATCTTTTTTTATTTTTATGTGTATGATTTGTTGTTGTTGGTTCTATCATTTGATATTTGTAACACCTATTATTGATATTTTATTTTGTTTGTTTGCAGATCTAAATGTGTTCCATAGCGATGCCAGCTGAACTGATCCTGGGGCACAGTCCTCCGGTATACAGTCCACTGTTATACTCTCCTCTGGTGCGCACAGCACCGCCGATTACCACAAGATCGGTACCACCCAGAATACGACCATGCCTGTCCACTGGTTCGTTGCCTCTGAACAGTATAAAAAACAACAATAACAGCAATAACAAGCAGAAAAAGAAAGTCGTATTTGCCGATGATCGTGGCCGTCCACTCACTCAGGTATAACACGTATGCTATAATCACGCTTATATTTGTTGGACCTTCCTTTTTTCTTTCTTCCTTTCTTATTTATAGACCAGAGTTTTTGTTTAGAAAAATTACGATTTTATTTCAATGCGTAAAAAAAGAACCGGTCAATGAAAAAAATACTAATGTTAATATAATATAACATTTGTGTGTGTTCACACTTTATATTATATATAACATAAAATAAATTTCTTGTTATTCGTGAATAAGTATTCACGAAATTATTAAATATTACTTGTTCGAAGTAATTCGACAATTATTCGTGAGCGCTTTAACGGGATTGAAATTGAAAAATAAATGAAACGTATATTTTGAAACGACAGGTACGGGTAATGTCGGAGCCAAGTAACGTACCGCCATTGTGGACATCGGCATACATAGAAGGAGTAACAGGAGGATTGTTAAGAGCAAAAATCGACAACGAGGTAACGCAAGATACGATACCACCATGGCAAGTTACGTTTCCTCAGCCAGCCAGCGATTATCTCGCATTTCGTCGAAAACTCGATCAGGAGAATGTCAGTTTGGAGAACGTGATTATTCGAGAATCCGAGCAAGCATTGGTTGGTACAGTGAAAGTGCGAAATCTTGCTTATGACAAGGAGGTCATAGTTAGAGCTAGCAACGACAACTGGAATACCCACGAAGACAATTATTGCACCTACGTTGAGCAACCAGGTGCACCGGCGCTCATCCTTTACGATACCTTCCGTTTTCGACTTACTTTGCCATTGAAATCTGATGTTATCGAATTCTGCGTCAGATATCGTACCGACGGAAGGGAATTCTGGGACAACAACGAGGGCAAAAATTATGTTGTCCGGAAAAGACAGGAGGTGTGTTCAACTCGTTCTCTTTGAATATTGACAAAAACGGGTTTCTCGGGTAAGGTCTTGTACTAATACATATATACAATAAATGTATTTAAGTATAGATATCTTAGACATGCTATATTATAATATATAGGCATTATTTTTTTTTTGACAAGGCCTTGCTCTTAGCATACCTAAAAAAAAAAAAAAAAGACAAGAATTTTCATTTATATGTATATTATAATTATATTGTACTTATTTATATCAGGGTTTGTGTCAAACTTTTCCATTTTTAATTTTTCTTTCATTATCATAAATTCATAAGACGTATTATACGCGTAGTATTTTTAAATTATAATCACATTCTTAAAAATTTCTACTTTACATATTACATATAATTGATATACAACATTATATAAATATATGTGTATAATACATTTGATTTGTATATATATATATATATATATATATATATATAATTCGACTATCGATCGCGATAAATACGCCTTCATAAAGATAACGGAAATTGATCATTTTTCTTCTTACGATTAGTATCATTTTCTTCGATTTATCGCGTCGTGTATATACGTCGAGATTACTACTTACTTGACACGCCAAGACCCGCGTCTCTCACGGTTTTATTTAAGGATCACTCTTAGAGAGATGATGACCTTTACTTAGCTCTCTCTTTCTCTCTCTCTCTCTCTCTCTCTCTTTCTCTTTGCTCGGTGAACTTTGCATTAGGCTAGAGGAGAGGGCTGGGAAAACGAGAAGAAATCGCGTCGCACGTATTTACCGCGTTATTAATATTAAACGAATACTCTCTTTCTTTCTTTCCCTTTTGAGTTTTTTTTTTATTTAATACCAAACTTTTTTATTTGAATACATGGACACTTCATGTATATTCATTTCGCGATTGGTCAAATGACCGTTTAAAAATAATAAACATATATCTTAATATAGAATGAGATTTTAATCAATTGGGAATATTATAGCGAAGAAAAAATATTTTTTTTTATTTATAAATGAATGATGTATATTTTATGCACATATTGTATTTGTTCTTTTTATAAATTATAGAACGCGGTCATTTGACCTCACGTGGTTGCTAGGTTTAATGTTAAATCACAGTAAGTGTAAGCCAATTGATTGTAATATTGGCTTACTTCGTATAAACATCGTATATATAAACGACCCACCAACTATTACAAATTACGTTACTACTCTAAATCGAATCACGTGATAAGAAAAAAATAAAAACAGAAAGAGAGAGAACAATGGCCTTTAAAGTATTCCAACAGTCAACGCTTATTCCAATTTGTATCGATCGAGAGGTGTAATTTTAGAAACTTCGTGTCAATGAGATCACCAATCAAAGAGAGACCATTCGTTCTTCAAATACGCGTCCTATGACACCACTACCAATGAGAATTTTTATTTTCTTTCTATTTATAATACTTACTATTTAATTTACATTATTATTACATTTGACTTCCGGTTTAAATAATCGTTATTATCGAAATATTTTAAAGAAATTTAAGTAGATAAAAATAAACGATCTCTTACCGTTTCTATTTTTTTTTTTTAATTTATAAAATACACGCATTAACACTTTAACAAAATTAATATAATCCAAAGCAGCGTTTGTATTTCATATCGTTAATTCATTCGACGAGAATTATTTGAAAATCTTTAACAAATAAATAATTAAACCCGATCGCGTTACTAGTAACCCATACATACGAGTTGTTCGCATAAACAATCGCACACACGTATAAGCGAATTTATATTTGATTGACACGACTCATAGAATTGATAAACGCCGATCAAACGTAATCGAGTTATTTAAAATTGTCCATGTTCTCTCTCGTTTAAAAAATACACTTTTTTAACATAATAAATAATATAATAAGAAAAAAGGGAAGAAGTTAAATTAATTATTGTTATTATTAATATTTCAGCAAAGAGCGCCAGCCAAGCGATACGATCTCTCGGCAGCTAATTGCGATGGATTATTACCGAACAACCATATTCGCAACATGAGCAACGGTGACAACAACGGATTGAATATACCCCGTGTATCCGATGCAACGCGAGCCAACGTTCGCACGTGGAGTGAATTTGCATCGTGGCATCATTTGGCCAACGATGCTCCTTATTGGTGAAAACAATAAACCCCTAATTGTGGATCCCTCGTCAACGATGTACGAAAACGTACGAATAACATAATCCAGTATAATAATCTGGAGTTAATAAGAATCGAGATGCGAATCCGTTAGAACGGGGGGGCTGAAATGGGGAGAATGGGGTTGAACTGGAGTGGGGAAATCAGGTGAGGTGAGAGGGTGGAGCGACTAAACTTTTATTTTTTTTTTTTTTCCTTTCAATGATGTACAAAAACGAAGAGAGAAAGAGTGAGAGAGAGAGAGAGAGAAAGAGAGAGAGAGATAAACAAGCAAACTATAGGAAATAAGAGAGAAATAATATTGGCACGATTTTTTTTTGTATAAAACAAGAAAGGAACATATGGAAAATGATAATTGAAGAGGAGACTGATATTCGTTCTTTTTGTTTTCTTCTATTTTTCATTTTCTTTTTTGTTTTTTTTGTTTTTTTCTTCCCTTCTACGAATTTCGAGAAGCAACGACGATAGCGAAGATGTGGATCATAATAATAATTGACATCGGACGAGATGAGTTAGTTGAAAAGAAAATGGATGATATATGCGGCATATGTGAAGAAGATATTTGACAAATAGTAAAAGAATAACAGAGAGAAAGAGAGTGATGTTATAGACTTCGGGCTATTGGGTAGCACGGATCGGTGGAAACCAGTTATTGGTGCTCGCATAGCTCTTATGGTAAGCATCTAATTATCTTTATGATAGTATATAATCTTTAATTTTATTGCATCGAAAGATTTAAAATTTAAAGAAATGCATCCAAAGAAAGAGACATACAGAGAGAGAGAGAGAGAGAGATAGAAATTAATTATTTATTGACAAAACACAACTGCATTCTAATATTAATTTTCTTATGCTATAATACTTCGACGTATTAATTTAAACAAATTATACATGAAATAATTGCATTACACAAATATACACGCGTACATATGTAGGTATACGTATATACTGAAAAAAGATTGATATTAAAAAAAGAAAAAAAAAAAACAGAAATACAACAAAGTTATTTTAATTACGTTAAAATTAGAATCGTACGCGAACGAATGTGAATCATTTGATTAGAATATATATTTAAATAAGAAAAAGAAAATCATTCTAAATAATTCGAACAAAGTTGAAACGTTCGAGGAAAGTTTTCGAACGATACTCGAGGAGGAAGGTATCAAGCGTGTTTCACGTGATCGTATACACACACACACACACACACACACAGCTATATATATGTACTTTCTCTCTATAAATAACAATTCACTGTAGTCCTGCGATAACAGGCGCGACCGGGAAGACTCGTGCGACTCTAATCGCCTTTACCTAAGGTCGTCGTTAGAACTGTTAGAAGACTCACGAACCAACGAACCAACGAACGATTACGCTGACTTCATCTTACCGATCATCGTTTATATGTTTATGTTCTGCAGAACCATCGTGACTGAGCATCAAACCTCTACGATTGTGCTCGGTTTTATTTCTCTTTTCTTTTTCTTTACTTTACTTTTTTTTTTTTATTTATTTTCCTTTTTTATTTTTTTTTTTCCATTACGAACTCGAAATCGATCAAACACAACCGGAAGAGGTTTCGTATCGTATATTCAAAGTCGATAATATATTCTATTTAAAGAACTTCCAACGACGTACGTGTCTATTTTCGATTTGGACTTACTTGTTTCCTCTTCTTTTCCTTTCTTTTTTCTTATTGTGTGTGTGTGTGTGTGTGTGTTTTTAAATTCTTTTAAAATTTTCCTATACCAATTTAATCGCGGTGTCATGTGATTCATCGCAGGCATATATAAATAATTATTTAGGGTATTTTTAAATAGGCTATTATTGTACGACGTCGAAAGTTTCTAAACTAATTAACAAACAGATCAATGAATGTCTTGGTTTTTTATTCCCAAACTTAGTAAGCCATTATTCTTTCAAAACTATTTCGTATAATTGAATCGAAAAGAACTTAGTCTACAATTTGTATCCAATTTTTTTTACGAACATTTCGTAGAAATTTTATTCCCCCCCCCCTCTTCCCCAAACGAAGAAAACAAAAATCAGTTTAGAATTATAGGACGTCTCATCCCTTCGAATGATTTTTTTCTTCTACAATAATTGCAATAATAATGCATGACAAATCTTTGACTAATCTTTTAGCAATAATTCGTCACGGTTATCGGTAATTGAAAGGATACTTTTCCGAGATATATAAATTAGTTTGATTTTTGCAAATATATATGTTAAAAGAGATCCTTGGCCTACTGCCAGCCAAGTTCTTCCTCGACGGTTAATATCTAGGAGAAACATTGAAATGCGTCGTTTGACGCACACACCACACACATCTGACATACCGATCAAAATGTTTCACGCGATTCTTCTTAACCTTGACTTCTATCCTTGTCGCTTTGGGCATTAGACCTTGGGAATATAGGTTGAACGTAGACGGTTTATGCGAAACTCAATTCGAATTCACTCGTTCAAAAAAAGTTCCATTGCAAAATCTCAATTATTCAACGCGTTAACCTACTTATCATTTTTCATTGTCAATATTAATATATCGTTATGAATTTTTAATAGGATATTATCTACCTACTCTAAATGAAAATCTTGTCATTCAAAACGTTTCGATTTATAATTTTTATCTACGAATCTTAAATATATTGTATTATTAAAAATCTTATTCGGTGTGCATATATATATATATATACGAGATAGAATATTGATTTATGATTATACAATTTTGTTAGTAATAATAATAATAATAATAATATCAAAAGAAAAGATCGCATCTCGTTTTAAATTGTTATTTATATTTTTATATACTCCGCGCAATATTATAAGGTCGAGGAAATAATACAAAATAGTGTTATCGATGCACATTCACATATATATTCGTATATACGTTTGAACGTATCAGGGATATCGAGGACGAGGTATATCCAGGATAATAGCTTGTATATACGTTTATGTGTTAGCCGAAGCGTGGTTGAAAAGTGGTGGCACGGGATCATATATATATGTATATATATATATATATATTGGAGCAGTTGTTCCAACTGCAGAACATTCGCGTCATACACCACGCCTCGTGCAAGCACCGTAAAAAGTTTAAGACGTCTAGACGCGTGGGTCGTTCAGAGTAATCTTCACTGGAAGAAGAACTACCTCGTCCTTATTGCACTTCATCTCTCTTTCCTTCTCTCTCTCTCTCTCTCTTTTTATCTTGAATCTTCTACCTATTTCTTATATTTATTATTATCATTCTTGTTTTTTAGTTCTCTCTCTCTCTCCCCCTCTTTCGAAATGTATCTTTGTAAATTTTGTCTTCTTTTTCTTTTTTTTTTTTTTAATTTAATATCTATTAATTTTCTTGTGAAGTGTTTTAATAATTAATAGAAAGTATAATATACGTATATGATTAGAATTAAACTCATCGTAATTATTATACACTTATTATAATTATATATCATGATTATTATTACATCTAATAATCGTTTTATAAAATGAACGAACATTTTCTCGGTTATATTTTCTAGATTTAATTAAACTAATAAAATGTTTTCAATATGTGTGTTTACAGATAGCAAGTTGCAGCAGGATTGGGATTGCATCATTACAACTAGAGATAATGAAGAGTAAAAAATTGTATTCAAGCAAGTTCGGTTAAATCGGTATATATCGTATCCGATCGTCCGTCCGTTAAATCCGTTTGTTAATTAAAACAAGTTCCGCGTGTTATTTTAATTAATTTTAAATAACAAACTAAGTCTAGTTATCGTCGAAGCGTACTTTCTTCTCGATATTATCATCATCATTATCATCGTGATAGTCACCTTCCTATTTCTTCCTCTAATTATTATCTTTTTCTTGATCGTTCCTAGAAAAAACCTACCTTAAAAAAAAAGAAAAAAAAGATAAGAAAAGATCTAGTTTGTAATTAAAATAAAAACACATATACATATATATATATATATGTATGTGTATGTCTTTGTGATAAGAAAAAACAAATCCGACAAAAAAGTCACCTATACAAATATATATTACAATAATTTGATATGTCAACTTGACTCCCTCTATCTTTATTTTCTTTTTTATTATCTTTTATCTATTTACCTTTCCCCTTATCTAATTTCTCCCTACGGCCTATTAATTTTTATATATGATTTTTCTTTGTAATTTTATTTTTAATATTTAACCGACGATATCTTAACGTGATATGTAAATACAATATAAGAACACTATCGAATTATACAAAAATTATATTCTCTCTCTCGACATAAGCAGAAAAAAAAAACGTAAGAGGAAAAAAATAAGAGGATAATCAAGAGATATACACATGCATATATGTATATAGCATATTTTCCTCTCGAATAAAAAAGAAATATAATCATGAAGAATATCAATTAAACTTGCACGCATAATAATAACAACAAGAACAACAACAATAAAACAATGCCATTTTTCTTCGAATAATATCAGTGATTTTTATACGTGCAACCTGATGATGTTTTTTAACGCAACACTATTGTGATTATTTATAAAAGAAAAATATTAACAAATATGATTGTCAGCCTTGAAAGAAGATATTATAGTACGAAAAGAAAAAAAGAAAGAAAGAAAGAAAAAAAGAGAAATATATAAAAAGAAAGTGCTGCTGCTGTTATTACCGCATTCTTCGCGTTTTCTACGCATAGAGATTAAAAATAAAGAGTATATTTATATACTTATA